TTTTTTTTATTTTAATTATGTTTTGTTTGATGTATGGAATATGTTGAATAAAAAGGTCTTTTATTGAATGCTTTGTTTATTAAATAAAGAAATCCAATACAAGTCATTAAGAATTACTACTACTAAAATAAAAAACATGAATTACAACAACTTTAATAGAAAACATGAAAAATACAAATACATGAAAAGGTATGCCAACTAATTTAATGGTTTTCATCATTTAACCAATCCGTGTTGCTAGGCCATCATCTTGGAAAAGTCTTTTTCTTCTCATAACATCCCTGCGTTCTAGCTTCCAAAATTGTTTTGTTTCAGGGGACATATGGCTTGTATCCATCGCCATGGTTTCCCGATCCGTCTTCTCCATATGTTTTTTGTGCAAATACTCCCTTTCTCGTGAAAACTCGGCTTGAATTGCCATCTCGTTATCTTGGCGTTTCTGCTCCAGTTCAATTCTTATGGCATTTTGCCTTGCAATTTCCTCCAAAAACTTTGAATTACTATTACTTGAATTACCCGCTTTTTTTGCCTTCGCAGCCTTTCGGCCAATGGGCCTCGGCTCCTTTTCAATGGGTGAGTCTTCACTCATAGGGGAATCGAGAGGTGACTCCGATGTCATTGAATTACGGAGTGGCGTCTCATTTAACACAACGGGGGGACCCGTGGGAATAATTATGAAGCGTTTGCAATATTTCACCACATCCCAACATTCATGATGGTTGAAACTTTTTTTGCCACCCCCGGTTGCACCGAACCACATCTGTGCTTGAATCATCTATTTAACAAAAAAAATGGAAATGCAAGAAATATTTAAAATATATTGGATATGCAAGTAACCAAAAAATAAACAAATGGAAATGCAATTAACCTTACAAATAAATTGGAAGTGCAAGAAATATTAAGAAACAATTGGAAATGCAAGAAATATTAACAACATATTGAAAATGCAAGAAATATTAACAAATATTTAAAATGCAAGAAATATGAACAAAATATTTAATTTGCAAGAAATATTAACAAAATATTGAAAATGCAATAAATATTAACAAAATATATAAATTAGGACATTAAACTTAATGAAACGAAAATTACAAAATACTTACCTCGTTAGTACGATTTTCCCCGCTTCTACAGTTTTCCATCGCTTTTGACAACGCATCTCTCCATTTTCCCAACTCTTTATTTAGAATTTTCCACCTACTAGATAATGCCATTTCCGTACGAGTAGACCCCGGAATTTTTTCACAAAATTCGGCATGAATTTTTTTCCACATATGAAAAAATTTCATCTCATTGCCTGTCACGGGACAATGACAAACTTGGAGCCAAGCCTCACACAAGGAAACATCTTCCATGGTGCTCCACGCCCCTCCGGTTTCGATAGAAGAAGCCATACAAATAAGAAGAAAAAAAATACAAGGTTAAAGAGAGGAAAATGTTGAATAAAGAGTGAATAATAGTAGAAGTAGAATAAAATGTATAAGGATTGGTGTTGAAAGTGAAGGGTATTAATAGGTATTTATAGAAAAAAAATTCAGAATTTTTTAGTATTTTTTTAAAAAAAATTCGATTTTTTTTCATAATTTTATTGCCAAAAAATTGCCATCCGTTGGATTGGAGGAGAGAAGCAGATCGGAGCGCCCAGGTTACGACACCTGTCTTTTAGCCGTTGGTGATCGCGCAGGGCTGACGTCAGCACGACGTCAGCGCGAGCGAATTCAAATTTTTTTAATTGGCGCGTGCAACGTTAAAAAAATTTGATTGCGCTCGCTGACGTCAGCCCAAACCGAGTTTTGGACCTCGGGCTGAACTCGCCTTCGGGCCAGCCCGACTTGCTGGGACCCGCACCTTGCCCGGGCTTGGACTTACCGCTGGAAACTCCTTTTTTTGCTTTTCTCCCCCCAGCCTTGGGCTAGGCTCATGGATGCACTTGCTCTTAAGAAGCGGACTTGTCTATTAATACTTCAATAAATTGTGGTTATGAGATGGATCATGAATACTTCAATAAACATAAATTTGTCCAAACTTAGAGAATGCAAAATATGTATAAAAAAGAAGAAAAATAATAGAAATTCAATTCACAATCTTGTCCATTTTGCTCTGTGGGAGGCATGAAACTTATCTTATTCGTGTTCTTTCGTCAAACAATGTCATTTAGGATTTTTTTAATACGTATTATTCTCTTTATGGAGACAAAAATATAAGGTTAAATTGTATGTTGTACAAGAAAAGTAATTAAAACCTAATTAGAGTCTAATAGGTAAACTATAAAACTTAGCTAACAAATCTCCTAATTAATAATATACCCAACTTGTAACGACACTTTCTTCCTTGTTAGGAAAATTGCTTCTTCTTCTGAGTAATGAAATTTCAATTATTGAAATAGATATCGCATTGCTATATCTTTTAACTTGAATGTTTTGCCACTAAACAGTATGATATAGCAGGAACAACCGGACACTAGTTTTTCTCCTATCTCACATAAAATTCTCTTCCTTTAAAGCTTATAAGAATGATTTTAAACATGTAAGAAGGTGACATACCTCACCTCTCTTCCTAGAGTACACTAAAATGGGAAAGGAAAGTCATTTTGCAAGATATTAGATGGTGAAAGACTAGGGTTTGTTTGGTACTTTGAACTATATTGATTAATTTATGTCGGATAGTATTAATTGTTTCGAAGAGTACTAATTGTTTATCCATAATATTATAAGACATTTGGTGTTGTTCCAGATAAATAGTTTGACTAAGTTATACTGTGTTTGGTGCTCCATCAGATAACATCGAATCATACTATTTTTTTAAAAAAAATTCTTTGATAATTTAAGTGGAAAATGAAATTCAAATTACACGAATATTTTTGGTAAGATTCATATGATGACAAAAAAAAAATTTCATTTGTTTTTGCCAAATCATTGACAAATCGTTTTAGCCATTAGAGACATCCAACGGCTGCCTAATAATAAAACAAGAAACCTCTCTCGATTCTCTCTTCCCTTTATCAATCCTTCATTGTCTTCCTCACCGGCCCATCACATCATTAATGCAAAACCCCCCAAGTTAAATTTGGAATATGGGATTTTGACCAAAAAATTAATATATAAAAAATATGGAATCTTGCTAAGCTTTGAATCTAGAGCCAATTATATTGACCCGCCAATTAAAAAATTAAAATAGAATTGAGAACTAAACTTGTTTGGCTGAGCTTTGAATTGAAACAACATAAATGGGCAAGAACGTATTTCAACACTAAGCAAAGCTGTAAACTTGGGTGTTCGAAATTCAAACAAACAAACCACATCGCACAAATTATTGATTTGTGTTTTCCACAAACAGTCACCAAATAGCCTCTGAAGAAGATAGCAAAGAAGAAAAAGAAGAGTGAAGTGGAGAAGCATATTGGAGAGCGAGAGAGAGAGAGAGAGATGGATACTTGGAGAAGAGTGAAGAGAATAATCATTGGAAAAGATAGCAAAGAAGAACCCTAGGGAAAAAATAGCATCTGATTTTTCACGTAGAAAGTATGTTGTTTTTTTCCTAGCCTTATAATTAAGTGTGTATTATCTAAACCGGGGTGTGTGGGTTGTATTAGTTAGTCAGGTAAGGAAAGTATTAAAAGCTCAAATCTTTCTTCTTATTTTTTTTTATATTTTTTTATTTTTTTTGAGGAGCTTTCTTATTGAGAGGGGTGATAGTATATTAAACTCACACACACTACACGGATACTAGGACTCGAACCTAGGATCTTGCCTGAGGGAGTAAATACTCCAAACCACTACACTAGTGGGTCCTTTAAATAATATAAGTTGACACCAAATAACTGACATAAACTATTTACTCCTATCCAGAGTCTAATACGGTGTACCAAACGAACCCTAAGGTGTATGTAAGGATATGTGTTGTAATTTCTGGCTCAAGAGTTGTGGTCGATCTTATTCACTAATATTTACTGTAAAACATAAATGTCCTTGTCCTTAACATAGATGGTGGGCCTCTTTATGTTTAAATATTCATCCAGGCATTGCCTCCCAGTGCCTTAAATTTGTGTCTGTTATCCTTTTCCTCTTGCAAAAGGTTCTATATGTGCAAGAGTAGGAAACTGAACAAATATGGCTAAGTTACAAAGCTCCTACTTTGTGTGCTTTGCATTTTCTATATTTGTTAATCTATTATTAGTCTTGAAACTCTATGTGGGTGGAGAATGGGAGCTGAGTTGGAGCAGAGGAGCAGCAGAAGAAGCTGAGCACGTTGCAGGCATCTCTTGCTCAGGGCATGGAAGAGCCTACTTGGATGGGCTTGTTCTTGATGGGAAGGAACCTGTTTGTGAATGCAATTCTTGCTATGGGGGACCTGACTGCTCTCAATTTTTAACTGCTTGTGCAGCAAATGCTGATGGGTACTCTCTCTCTCTCTCTCTCTCTCTCTCTCAGACTTGTTAACTGGAAAATGATAGCTAGCTAGCTTGGGGTTTAGATCTGTGGTTTATATTTCTTTTGAAGAAAAAAGAAAGAAAAACTATTTCAGGTCTTCAAATGTTGCACATTAGAATTTGAAGCTGGAACCTTTGGAAATTAAGAGGGGAAAAAGGGGTGGTCAAATTGCAAGCCTGATTATTTGTTAATTCAGAAAAGTTGAGCAGATTAGGTGTAAACCACTGCAGTCAAGATTCTAGAATCAAAGCACCTGGTACTTAAAAAGATCCTCTACTTAACCATGCCAAAACTTAAAATCCATATCACCAATTAGAAAGGTACAAAAAAGGCAACAAAGAATTTCATTTTCAAAAATTTGTTTTAATTTTGTAAAATATGCACCAGAAAGATTCCGAAAACAAAGCTCATGATGTCACTTATGAAACTAATGTTTTATAAAATATCTCTTTACAGTCCCACACATACAAGTGGTGAAAGCAACTGTACTATATAAATGTGAATGTGATGGTCAATATCCACCACAAGGGAGATTTTTCTTTTGGTAATATATATATAGGGAGCTTCGATTGAAGGATCCCTCAAATTTATTTGAGGGACACTCTTATAGGGCTCACTTCGTATTGTATTTCACTAATCTAAACCGTCGATTTTGTAGATACTCATTTAAAGATCATCTCTACAAAAAATCACTTGAATCCAATATCATTTGACCACTCAATTAAATTATTGAAATTTTAGTACTTTCTTGAAGCACCGTGTTCATTGATTTTGTAGGACACAATTGGATATCGAAATAGTTTTTTATTTGTCTAACTTTTTTTGCAAGGATGATCTATGAATGTAGACTTAAAACATAGATGGTTTGGATCGTTTAAAAAAATTTCATAAGGAACCCTAAAGGGTGTCCCTCAAATTAAATTATTTGAGGGATCCCTCAATAGAAAGGGACTATATATATACTTATATCATGTTTTTCAAGTTTTTATTGGGATTCAAAAGGGTGACCAAGCAAACAAACTTACTTATAATGGGGATAGTACTATTTTGCTATCTTCAACCAAAAACATAATGACACGTGGAAAAGATATCTTACGTGTTATTACATTATTTGTCAGGAATAATAAAAAATGTTATCCTCATTGCATGAAAGTTTCTCTCGTTAGTTAGAAGAAGAAAAGGACCTCACCACTGAGAGATGAATTATTGATGTTTTTTATGTCAATGTGAACACAACATTAATGGTGGGTCCAAATTCACTTGATTGATACTTTAAATTATGTAAGAAAAAGCCAACTACATTATAATTAACGTTTTTATGCGACAAAATATTACCATCATTGGCATGAATCACGAGTAACTCTTATATCTTAAACATAAACTCATCTATTTTTAAATTATTATCAAAAACTCAAATTTGAATATAGGTTAATAATTGTCCTAATATTACAAACTATTTACACACTATGCTATCTACCTTACTTGTCAAATCCCTTTTGTTTAGCATATATATTTAATTCTTTTTAACTTGGCACCTATTTAATATTAAAACGTTTTAATAAAAATAAATCAGTGAATACATAAATAATCATGTAATACAAACCGACACTAATATACTACCTAAATATAACAATATTAAACAAATGATAATATATACCTAAAACAAATTATTATTATTTTGTCTAAAAGAATATTGATTAGGTAATTGTATATTGGAAAATTATGGTAATACATGCAAAAAATAATTTACCTACATATCTAATACAAGATAGGTAAATAGATAAATACATATATGTAAAAAAAAAAGAAAAAAAAAGGTACATTATCTATAAGAAATCTAGGTATATTATCTATAAGCAAAATATAGGTAATTACATTATTCGTAAGAAAAATGAGATACATTATTACGTTATCCTATTAGATAGACAATTCGAAGAATTTATAAATTTGTATTAGGTACATTATCCTATTATTACTATTCGGTAGAATTTTCATAGAAAAAAAGGACGGTAATTAGATGATAATCTAAATTTAATGCATTATTTACATTTACTGCATTATTTCCTTGAAATTGAATTCCAAATTTTGAATTTTGAATTTTTTTTCCTTGATAATATTCCTAATATATAGATAAAATACAATTTAATCAATGAATACATTTATAGGATAAAAATAAATCAATGAATACATAAATAATCAAAGGTACATTATCAATAAGAAAAATCTAGGTACATTATCTATAAGAAAAATATAGGTACATTATTCTTAAGAAAAATTAGATACATTATTATTTTATCCTATTAGATAGACAATTCAAAGAATTTATAAATTTGTATTAGGTACATTATCCTATTATTACTATTAGGTACAATTTTCATAGAAAAAAAAGAAGGATGGTAATTAGATGATAAATAAATAATTTGTGTAAGGCACATAGGAATATTTGTGTGTGCATTACTTACCCAAATAATACAACCACATAATAGGGTAAACTCTAATTAAGGGTGCTTTTGGAATATAAAAAGTATAATAAATCAAATTTTAAGCTTAATTAGGTAACTTGCTGAGTTGGATCCTAGTCATCGGGTTTTACTGATAATAAATTGGAGACGATGGGTTGTAGGTAAGAAAAAATTAGTTTGAAAGGGGAAAGCTACACTTACTGTAAATTTAATTATCTCATGCATATATAATAATATATATTTGCTTGCAGTGGAGACCCGCTATTCTTGGAGCCATTTTGGATGCAACGTGCAGCCAAAAGTGCAGTTGTAGTAGCAGGCTGGCATCGAATGAGCTATACCTTTGCTGATCAATCTCGCATCTCAGCAGAGCTTGAGAGGCACATTCGCAAACTTCATGCCATTGTTGGAAATGCGGTGACTCAAGGAAGATACATTGTTTTTGGTGCTGGCTCAACCCAACTTCTCAACGCTGCACTTCACGCACTCTCTTCCAATAATCTCAGCTCTTCCTCACCTGCAAGTGTTGTGGCTTCAGTTCCTTATTACAGGGTTGAATCCTCATTCTGAATTTACGACATACAAAATTTGGAAAGATCAAAACTATTTGTACCATCTAAATTGTGTTACTATCTTTCATAGAGGCGCATACATACGATCCATTGAGATGATACAACTCCTTTACAAATAAATTAATTTTATATGTCGAATTTTCGCAGCTTTACCAAGATCAAGCGGAGTTCTTTCGATCAGTGGACTACAAGTTTGAAGGAGATGCAGCCGTGTTGCAGAACATTTCGGATGCTAATACAAACGTCATTGAGTTTGTAACCTCCCCAAACAACCCTGATGGGAAGTTGAAAAAGGCCATTTTTCATGGCCCAAATGCCAAAGCAATCTATGATCGTGTGTATTACTGGCCCCATTTTACAGCAATTCCTGCTCCAGCCGATGATGATATCATGATATTTTCTATTTCTAAGCTCACTGGCCATGCCGGTAGTAGATTCGGGTAACAACCTAACTATCATTTTCCATTTTCTTGCATATCCTTCTCTTTTCTCTTATAATTTTTTAAATCTTTTAAAGTTAAAACCAATGAAAAATTATTAGAGTTGAACAAGGAAAAACCCTTTTTGGTAGTTATAAAATAATAATGTTGTGCCTTGTGCAGTTGGGCAGTGTTGAAGGATGAGTCTGTGCACAAAAGAATTAGTGAATATATACTGTTAAGTAGCTTAGGTGTTTCTCGGGATGCTCAGCTGAGAGCTTTGAAGCTTCTCAATGTAGTGCTTGAAACTGGAGGAAAGGAAATCTTTGAATTCGGATACAACAAAGTGAAGGGCCGCTGGGAAAAATTGAGCAACACTTTGGCTCTGTCAAATCGTTTTTCTCTACAGAAAATTGCACCCCAATACTGCACTTATTTCAAAAAAACCAGAAAACCTTCACCAGGTATAACGTCCTCATCACTCTTATATACTTCTCTTAGTCTAGTAGTACTTCTCTTTCCAATGCTGGAAGAGGTCTCAAATTTGATTTTTCCCGGCCTTGTTAAGTAGTAGTGAATTATAAGTATGGAGTGGGAAATGATCTGGCAACACCCACTTTGGACCACAATTATGTGATCCACGTCATATCGTTGGCCAACCCATAGATGTTAGATGTTCCGGTGATCACATTAACTGGCGGATATTTTTGCAAATAATATTCTTAAATTTGAAACATTTTTTTAGGGCCATACATGAGCAAAATCACATAAATGCACACACACACGTGTATATATATATATATATATATATATATATCATGCTATTTTCATTAATCCAGTGATTATGACAAAATTTATTTTTTATTTTGTATCTAACCTCATCATACAAAATTAAGTCTACCCTACCATATTTGCAAAGATTAATTGATGATTTTGTTGGGAATTTCCATTACTTCAATTTGGTTTTTCTCTCAAGTAATTTAGACATTGTCAAAAAAACCAAGCCTTTGCAGACTCAAGAATTTGTGCAACTAAAAACTGATAAAGGAAAAGAATAATCATATTGAAAAACTACTAAATTAAAGGCCCCATTGGGTCAAATTCTGAAGCAGTTTATTCTCATGGCAGCTTATGTGTGGTTGAAATGTGAGAGGGAAGAGGATAAAGATTGCTATGGAGTACTCCAAAAAGAAGCCAATGTTTATGGCCGTAGAGGTAGCTTGTTTGGTGCTGAAGATCGATATGTACGTCTCACTCTCTTAAGGAGCCAAGATGATTTTGATATATTGCTTCACCGGCTCAACCAATTAGTCTTGAAAGAAAGTGAACCCCAAAAGTTATTTGTCAACGATTTGATGACAAATTAATCGCCTGTGTATTAGAAGCCAATAATCAGTACACTTTTATTCAATTAAGGGTCAATATGTGATTTGACCTGCTACATGTATATTGAAACATTTCGAAAAATAGCAGAGCGCCACTCGTGCTCCCTATGTATCCCGTGCTTATTATAAATGTAATTCTAGTCAATTAGTCTAGTTGTATTCACTTTTTAAATGTTGAAAGATATAACCCAAGTTCGAGTTTATTTTTCCTCATTAGTAAAAACAATAATACTATAGTACATCTCTTTTGGCATCTTAGTTGTGTGTGTGTGAGAAATTCTCCACTCATGTAATTTAGACTATTGCTTGTACTGAAAAAAAAAATGGAAAAAAAGAGAAAAAAACCTACAATACCACTAGTTGGCTTTGCTGAGTGGTGTCACGGTTTGGGAAGTTTATCGATATTGTTATATGTCTTGTCTCGAATGTGAAGGATCTTCTTAGGTTCCTGAGGAATCTGTTTCAACACTATAAGGAAGTCAAATGCAAGGCTTCTACAATAGAAGAGGTGGATGTTTCGTTCGAAGTTATTTCGGTGGTTCCCTTGAATTCTTTCACACCCGTTTGGGTTAATGAATGATTTATGTTTGGCTTTGTATTTGTTATTTCTGGTACTATACCTTGCGAGCGACAATTAAGTCATTAGCAGTTGGGAGCTGGTAGAGGGTTATCCCAATAAAAGCAAAACTTAGGATTATTTAGACCACTAATGCTAGATGACAACACATGGTTGGACCTTTTATTAAATGCATTCCTAACCAACACCAGGTGTCAATCATTAGCTGGTTCCCTAAAACAAACTTCGCAAGCTGTGCCTAGTGTCACGGGATGAGCGAGCGGCGCGGTGCTGTGGAAGCAAAACACACATTTCGCTCGCTAAACCACAACCCGTGCGGCATAGGATCCCTTCGGATCCCAGTCAGGTTTCTCCACCATCTTCATGATATTCATAACTCTCACAACTCCGCGAGAGGTTCACCATCAAGTGTCGCCTCCCATGGGCACCAAGCCGCATGGCTAGACAACAAGTCACACTACTTTGTGACAATACAATCACCCCGCATCTTGCAACGAACCCTCGTCGCCCATACATCAAACGTTGCATAAGACATGTCAACTGCATCGACCACGTCGCATGCCTAACTCATGGTTTGCTCATGTCCAAGTCAAGATATAGCGATCCAACACACCATCGATTTACCCACACTTCTGTCGGTCATTCCGTTAGCAACCAAGATAGCCCACATCCTCAAGCTATACACGCAAGCTGTCACACTCGCATGTCGTCCAAGCCTTAGCGACATATGTATTCCTAATGTCCCACATAATCATTTATGCATTGCACGGGGTAGCAACCCATGCGTACTGACATTCGAATATCTTCCTTCTACATTGGACAAGGCCGAACCCAAGCCAAGTCTATCAAGTATTGTCAAATGCCTCGCTTGCCGACGGCATAGTGAATGTCATACGTTGACCCCACTCTTCACAACGATGCACAATACGAACGGCCCCGCGTGTTAGTACTGTCCTCGGGAAGTCCTTTCCCTCGGAGACATAGACTGTACAATAATCTTATGCCCGCCCCTATGACTACCTCCAATGTCATAAGGATGCTCGCTCAGTGCCACAAGGGTGTAAGCACCAGGGGTGATGAAGAGCATGACACCATGTCACCCCCTATATAACATTTTATACATTTAGCCTTCTATCAGGAAGAAACATCACCTATGCATGAGGACTTCGAGGAGTCATAATTGGGCATAACTCCTTCATACGACCTTCGAATGGCGAACCGTCAGTTGTGTTGCATGCGTCTCAACATCACGACCGTTCAAGTATTTTCAACTTCCTCATATTCCTCCCGTAACCTTCAAAAATACCCAAAATACCCTTCACAAGTGCAACCTACCCAACACAAACAAACCATTCTAGCTCTTAAGCTCTCGCCCTTCCACATCTAGAATACCTCATAAGCACATATATGTCCCAATAGAGTCACAATAGCACTCGCTAATGTGCGATCCTTGACATTCTCCCCCACTGATAGTGTTGACGTCCTCATCGACATGCCCACTGCACTGCCGCATAACAACACCATATAGGCATATCCTCTTCTTCTCACTCCCTAGACCACAATGCACCACTATTCACCCTTTTCAACTTCTTTCAAAGTTCTACATCTTATCCCTCTTTCGGTCAAGACCACTGTCTCTTGTCATACTAAACCATTGAAAAAACACATAGCTCGTTGGTCAAGTACTTCCACATTTTCCACATTTAAAGAGATGCACCTCACCTAGGCGTGACTTGTAAGCCAACCGTGTGTCTTCCACGGCACCTCCATTTGTTTGCGCAACTGCATTGCCATACCTCTGTGGCATTCGTGGGTTTCCTGTACTTATCTCGTCAACACACCCATGTGCCCCAAAGCAAAGTTCCACAACACTTAGGCCATCACAGTTCACCAAGGTTAGACATCATCCCTACTACGAGTAGATACACCTAACTACCAACGCCCAAACTTGGACTCTGCATATCCACTTTATAGCATCCATAAGGGAACAAGTAAGATGTTACCACCCAAGTTACTCCAACTTTGTCTGCCATCAAGTGCGGACATACTCCATGTCCTTAGCAACCATGCTCACAAGTAAGACTTTGAGATCCACCTTTGGAACACTCCATCGTTCCGAATATTAGTTAGTAACCTTATGCCAAATATTGTGCATCACCCACACGTTCTCCACAATTATTAGAGCAATCACTTAAGTGACTCTTTCATTAAAGCTTAGCCCGTCAGCAACTTACTCCCTCAATGAAGCCTAGCCCATCAGTGACTTACTCCCATTGAAGACTGCACAATTTCGATCTTGAGCTCCCACAACTCTTCCGCGAACAAAGGTCTGGCACCATCTGTTCAATAGTTGTCACCAACTGAATTCAACACAACCGTCTGCGGCATGCTATGGTTCGAGTATAGCCAACCTTCAGCACTCTCACAAAACTTACGCTACCATCTTCACATATCCGGATCTTGGACAAGCAACATCACTTTGTCAATCGTGTGTCCTCCACGGCACCTCCATGGCATTCATGGATCTCGCCTACTTATCTCGTCAATGCACCCTCACGTCAACGTACCTCTAAAGTGAAGCTCTACAATACTTAGGCCTTCACAATTCACCAAGGTTTGACATCATCCCTACTAAGAGTAGAACCACCTAACCAACGCCCAAATTTGGACTTGGTAGAACCTACTTCTGTAGCATCTACACAGGAACAAGTAAGACATCTACACCCAGGTTACTCAAACTTTTGCCTGCCATTAAGTGCGGACATACTACGTCCTTTAGCAACCATCCTTGCAAGAAAGACTCCGGAATCCACCTTTGGAACCCTCCATCATTCCGAATATTAATTAGCAACCTTATGTCAAACATTGTGCATCACACACACGTACTCCACAATTGTAAGAGCAACCACTCAAAGTGACTCCTTCAATAAAGCCTAGTCTGTCAGCAACTTACTCCCTCAATGGAGCCTAGCCCATTAGTGACTTATTCTTTTTGAAGATTTCACCCTTTCGGTCATTTGCCCTCACAAGTCTTCCCTGAACAAAGGTCTTGCACCATTTGTTCAACACTTGTCACCAACTGAGTTTGACACAACCGTCAATGGTATGCCATGGTTCGAGTGTAAGCCAATCTTCAACACTCTCACCAAACTCGCGCTCCCATCCTCCCCACATCCTGAATTGAACAAGCAACATCACTTCGTCACAAGTCAGAACCCCTGCCTACTCAACTTTTGGGGGCTTGGTGCACGGCAACCAAACAGGAAAACCAACCATCATCCCACATGTCATCTTGCTTGATGTCTTCTCAAAACTTCAAGTCAAACTTTTGGATAACTTCATCCATTAATAGGATCTAGCACCAAGACAGGTTTGCATCAACCGTCACACAACCTGATTCCAACAATCATCTACAGTGACATTGGGGTCTTCATCCAACTTCACAGGACCACTACCCATCTCAGGCAATGACTTGCTACATAATTTCCTCCATCACCAATCCCTCCTAGGTGCGAATCCCTCACACAAAAACCACTTTATGGATTGATCTGTTCTGATACGATATGTCATGGGATGAGCGAGCAGTGCGGGGCGGCGAAAACAAAACACACATTTCACTCGCTAAAGCACAACTCGTGCGGTTCAGGATCCCTTCGAATCCCAGTCAGCCTTCTCCCATCTTCATGATATTCATTACTCTCATAACTCCGTGAGAGGTTCACCATTAAGTGTCACCGCCCATGGGCACCACGCCCCATGGTTAGACAACATATCACACTACCTTGTGACAATACAATCACCCCGCATCCGGCAACGAACCCTCGATGCCCATACATCAAGCATTGCACTCGTGGCTCGCTCATGTCCAAGTCAAGACATAGCGATCCAACACACCATCGGTTTACCCACACTTTTGTCGGTCATTCCGTTAGCAACCAAGATAGGTGTAACAGGGGTGAAAAACGCCTCTAATTTTTCGACCCTTGTTCGACACTTAGACTCCTCCTAAGTCAGCCTTCTCTTCACCTCCAAACTTGTGAGGCTTCAGAGTACAAGCAATGGAGCAAGTGACACCAACACTCACACAAGCAAGACTTGCTTCACGCAAGAAATTCTAACACACACACATATACGGGAAAGTTTCCAACCTTCTATTCACAAATAGCAAAGGATTACAAGCTCTCACTTTCAGTTGGATTACCACATCACTTGGTATCTCAACCACACCATCACAAGGTATTTATAGGCCTACACTATGTAGATGACACCCCCATCTACTTAGGACACCATGCCAACAGTTAGATTAGGCACCTAGACATGTTTCCCTACTCAAAAACCTGTGTAGCATTCACAAGCCACCACCTTGCAGCCCACTCTTGTCATGGAACATATTTTTCTCCTTAAAAATCTCCCCCACTCCTTGGAACATGCTGTCACTCTCTAGTAACCGCCCACTCTTACTCTAAGATCAGCCACAACTCGAGTTTTAAGCATACAACAACTCTAGCCACATCCAACTACCCATGGATTGCTCAAAAACCGTTTTGCCACATCCTAGACCCACTCCAGCACGTTT